CCTGATTTTGTATCCCGGACTATGTATCGATTGTCTAGTTGCTACGAGTAAAAAACCTTCAGCAAAATCAGTTCGTCTGGTATTATAATTGAGTTCACCACAAACACCATTTGGCGTTCTTACACGTCATTTCTGACGGACGGTTATACTTTCTAAATATATCATGTACGTACAATACAGTATGTGGGAGATTTACAGTTTTTCTCAGTTACTTTTGTACATTTCTCAGATCAGAAATGACATTCTCAAAACTACTTGTTCAGCCTCCATATCATCCAGTCACTTGTGCACATCATTTAAACAATTTCTCGTTGTTTTTTAACACATTGAAAATACTTTGGCACATTCATGGAGCTGATTATGTACAATTGTCTGTTGTTTTCTACATTACCAGTTGCTTATGGTGCATGGTTGAAGAGTAGCGAGGCAAAACACATACAGTACATTAAGAATATTCCCAGTGAAATATGGTTCACACTTGGTGACCACAATGTCATTCATGGCCTTACAAAGGCCAAGGCTGGTTGAAGGCAGACAAATGTTAGGTGAATAACTGTTCTGTCTAGGGGTGTTTCTTCTGTTTACATTTCTAATGTGCTATGCAAAGATGCAAACAATTGTCACTGATTAATGTAAAGAGTATGTAGCTGAGGTGAGACTGTAACAGGAAGTGGTGTCAAAATAAGAGCATGATAACATAAGCAGAGGGGACAGAATTGTGACAGAAATTATCATAAATTTTTAGATTCAATGATATGTTTATTGTTGAGGTCATAGTTAAAGGTGGTGTTGTACTGGACTACATTATATTCAGAGTTGTAGATTACCATGGATTGATTACCAGTGGCCAAAGAGGTCATGGAGCCATTGGGCCTGTGCCTCTGTATGAAGTGATATATTTAGGCTAAAAGCAATAGTGCTCAGACAAAACAAAAGCAAAGACACAATAATGACAAAGACCTGAAAAATGACCAGACAGAGACAGAAAATTCCTTTAAAGATATGAAAGATACCCAGATAAAGATCGAAATTATCTTCTCTTTTTTATGACATACATAATATTTACTACATACAAATAAAGATCTTTTAAAAAGAGACAGACAGAAAGAGAATAAGCTCCTCCTCTTGTGGAGAGCAGGCCTGACTGGTACAGACCGGAGACCGTGTCATTTCCATCCCGTGGTGCGTGGATCTACGCGCCGATCCTGTCGCTGTCGCTGAATCTTCGGTAAGTGTTCCGGGGTTTTTATCATGGATTACCGTGAGCTGCTTGGATCAGACCGCTGTCATGTCGCACTGACACTCACTCACATCGGTGTTTGTGATATTGAACCGTCAAGGCTTTCGGCAACGGGATGCGCAGCGGTTTGCAGGGTCCATGTCAGGAGAGCAGCAGACGAAGCATCGTTCTCGATCTAATATGTTGTTATGGCATATATCGGTTATTGTAACGGTATTGATCCATAACCTGTATTGTGTGTTAACCAGCCAGATCCAGTGGGAACCGGATTCGTCATCGGAAGACCAAAACGTGCAAACCACTTAACAAACAGCATCTGTTTAAAGTTGATCATACCTTATCACACCTTACCATGTGAATGCACACAATCTGTTTAATACATGACATTAGTTCATGTGATCTTAGACGACGGAGCTCTCTATGGTCACTGCTGCAAGAGCAGAGCAGCAGAAGGGACGAGTTGTTCTTTTATGGATCAGACAGTAACGTTACTCCTTACAGCCACTACTACAACAGATTTCTCATTGGGAGAAGTTTAAAGGAGGTTTCAGATTCTGTGCAACTTTAACTTCATATTCAGCACAGGTTGAGCAACCTCCTCAATGCATCTATGGCACATAGATGCATTTATAAATAGTCGTTTATACAGTTAACAGGAAACGACAAGGAGATTTAACTTTTGTCTTTTTGTTCTCAGTGATGCAGCTCAGTTAAAATGATCCAGAGGAGTTTAATCATTTAATTTCACAAGTTCAGAAGAGGTTTAGTGGTAGATTACATATTGTGTGAGTACTGACCCCTTCTGCCTTTATGTGCCCAAGTATTTTTAGAATTAGGACTTTGACACTGGTTTCTGTTGGCTCTCCATGTGTATGTCCATGTGTATGTGTATGTCCATGCTGTGCCAAGGAGGAATGTGTGCATAGATATACACTACAAGTGACGTGAAGACACACTTTCCCATTGAATTGAGTGAATACAACAAAGCAAAGCCAAACTGAGATAAGCAAAAAGAAACAGGCAAGAGACCAGCAGATGCAGGGCTGGCCCAAGTTTTTGTGGGGCCCTAAGTAAAATTTGATATGGGGCCCCTCCACCGCTTCTTTGCCACCAGTCAGAGATGGAAAGTAACTAAGTACATTTACTCAAGTACTGCATTTAAGTACAGTTATAAGATATGAGAGGTATCTGTACTTTACTTGAGTATTTACACTTTCTGCTACTTCACACATTGACTTCACTACATTTTGCGTAATCTATTGTACTTTTTTACCCCCTACATTTGCTTGATAACTTTAGTAACTAGTTTCTTCTCAAACTGAGATTAATTAAATAAAATGCAGTATAATCATGAGACTTTATTGATCCCTGGTGGGAAATTCACAAGCTACCCAACAGTGTGTAAAGTACTTCAAAGTGTAAGCCTGTAACCTAGTTAATATTAGCTTTGCCTTTACCAGCTGTAACATTAATTGTGATGTACACAATAATACAGCAATAACTACAGCCTGATAATATGATATAGATTAATGGGAACTGTGCCATTCTGCATAATGACTACTTTTACCTTTAGTACTTTTAAGTAACAATTTGAATGCAGGACCTTTGCTTGTAACAGAGTATTTTTACACTGTGGTATTGGTACTTTTGCTTAAGTAAACAATATAAGTACTTCTTCCACCGCTGCCACCGGCACACCTACTATAAATCTTGTGGCAATAGTAAACCGCTACAATCTAACACACTCAGCTGTTTGCTTGCATCACATTAATGTCATCCCAGCATGCTTTACCCTTCTATGCCGTTAATATTAAAAGGCAGCAAAGAGTGATACTAAGTGGCATACTGAATGTGGTGCACTGAAAAGTAACAAAATAACAAAAGTAACAAAAAGTAGTACGTTATCAGGGCCATTGGTCCATACATCAAGCATGGGTGAAAATATAGTCTTTCAGATGACTTATTCCCTTTCCTTTATTTCTTGTTCTCCACAGCACACATAACATCATTTTGTCCATGCCACATATTTATTACAGAGTTCACACTTGACTAAAGAGATACCTGGTTCTTTCTTCAGGTTGCTCCACAGTGTTTTAATTTTTAAGGTTTTATTTCATATTGTTTTGCTCAGTTATAACTAATTTGTTGTATTAAGTATATTGTTTTTTTTATTAGATGGTTAGGCAGGACCCTGGCTTGCTCTAATGTCTTCCAGGAGCAGAGGTAGTCTGCATGGTAGGTTTGCCACTGTTGTGGTAGCTTGTTGTTTCTGCTGGAACCTGTTCGTCTTGTCTACTTTGTTACAGTATGAGCATCTAAAGTAGTTTTGGAATTTGAGTGCTGCTAACCTTGTGTATTCCTCTTCAAACTGTGCCACTGCTGGTGGTTTTGCATTCACAAACAGCAGAGATTCCAGAGTCTCATGCTAGTGCTAGCTTGATTTTGGATTAATTCTTAATGTAGCTTTAAGTAGCTAGCCAGTAGCCGTGTTGATTTAAAATGAAAACCTGCTAACATCCCCAGTCTTTACATGTGGAAAATGTCAACTCATGTTAGTTAACCATGTTAGCTAGTGTAAATTAGCAAGTTAACTGTGTCTTGTGTTATCTACAGGCTATGAGGAGTAAACGTAAAATGGGTGGATAGGCCTATATCAAATTATAAGTTGAATTTCAGGCCAAACACTCCATGAAAATGTTACAATTAAAGAATTATTTTGTATGTAAGAAACAGCATCAGCCAGCATTATCACAAACATCGACACCTCACAGGGATGTGTCCTCAGTCCCATCCTCACAGGGATGTGTCCTCAGTCCCACACTCTGTTCACCCACAACTGTGTTGCCTCCCACAAAGACAACATCATCCTAAAGTTTGCTGATGACACCGCAGTGATAGGTTGCATCAGTGGTGGGCACGAAGCAGCCTACAGGAGGGAGGTGGCCGGTCTGGTGTCTTGGTGCAAGGACAATAGTCTTAGCCTCAACATGGAAAAAATGAAGGAGATGATAGTGGACATGAGGACGGAGAGGAGATCTCATCAGCCACTGTTCATCCGGGGGCTCGAAGTGGAGAGGGTGAGCAGCTGCATCACTGAGAGCATCTTGACCAGCTGCATCACTGTCTGGTATGGCAGCACTACTGCTATGGACCGCAAGCGCCTGCAGAGAGTGGTAAAGACTGCGGAGAAGATCACCAGGACTCCACTGCCCTCTCTGCAGAGCATTTACCATCGCAGGGTGCGTAGGAAGGCTGCCTCCATCCTCAAAGACCCCACCCACCCCCAGGATGGACTGGTCACCTCCCTACCCTCTGGCCGAAGGTTCAGAATTGTGAAATACAGGACCTCTGGACTGAAAAACTCTTTCTATCCTTCTGCCATCAGACTCTTAAACAGCTGACTCAGGATCTACCTCATGTAATTCCATCTGTGCTGTTTACATACTCATTTTACACATGCATAATGGCACACTCACTGCTGAGTATTTGCAGCCCACAGCTCCCACGTAGCATATATTCTCTCTGCATTATATTGTGTTCTTGTTGTATTTTATTTGCTTCCTTCACTTCCTGCTTTAAAGTGCCTTAGATTTGTTTTACTGCCTATTTAGATTTGTGTTATTGCTCGTTTAGTTTATATTTCACTTGTATGTAGTGGCATTCATGTGGACGGCAAAGTAAGAATTTCATTGTACTGGGAAACATGTTTCCTAACTGTGCATATGACAGATAAACACTTTGACCTTTGACCTTGAATGTAACTACTGGGAGGGCCGGGCTGGGCAGGGCAGGGCAGGGGGGTTAGGGGCAGGTTGGAGATGGGGAGGATGTTGTGTCCCTACCAATGTTGGGACAAACCTACACTCTTCGATGAGAGAGAGTGCTTTTCTGTTGTCCTACGGTTACGGTAGACAAAATATTCATGCGAGCTGGAAGAAGTTGTCCCTGTGCTTGTTACACTATCACCCATGATCCAGTGTAGTGATAAAGTTTATCTGCAGGCAAATCTTGACACACAAACATCACCCTAGTATTACAGTGGTGGCAGGTTTGTTGGTTGTTTGTTTAAGTGTTGTTTGGGAATAAAGGAGCATCAACTTTCACTACGGCTGCTCGCGCTAAGAGCAGTGACACACCAAGCTGTAGGTCAGCCCTCGGCCACCATCAGGCTGTCGGTGAACGTCTGTCAGGGCATTTCTTCTGTATTTTCTGTGCTTGAGAGAGAGATTGCTGCTTTTTCCATGTAATCCATTGTTAGGGTTTGGCAGTCTGTGCTTGCATCAGAATGCAGTCAACGTCCATTACAGTGCACATAAACAAGCTCTCCTGTAGGGCATTTCCGGCACTCTTGGGTGCCATCTGGCAGCCACAGTGGTCCTAAGCAGGTGCTTAGTTTGCATATGCCTTGGGCCGGCTATGAGTAGATGCAAAAATAAACGAACAACATTCAGGTGGGGCTCATTCACAAATGCTGTCTTTATTTGTAAAACGGTACAAGAGAATATACTTTAAATAATGATATAACATGAACAGACCTGACTTTCTCCTGTGCATGCGCCAACATTTGTGAAACAGTATTGTTATAAAAGCAGATGCATATTCTGTCAATAGAACGGGGAAATGGCAGCAGTCCTTATCAGCGCTGTGCAAACCTGTCAAGAGCAAATAAGGGCCATAATTATGAACCTACTCCTCTTGTGCATCACTTTACAAAAACTGCACTGGCATTGTGGCTCTTTCCATAAATATGCTTTCATGTCTGAAAAAAGTCTGCTGTGTGACCAAAAAACCCAAAAGTGATCATTTTAATAGACAGATGAAATAAAATGTTACACATTCCTTATGTGAAAATGGCCATGGAGACCTCCCAGGGAGAACTGGGAGTTTTTGGATGTATTGCTGCTCTGCTCACAGGGCACCCCTTCCTTTCCAGGTGTTAAATATGACTTTCATTTTTAATACAAATATATCAAATAGCATCAATATTT